TTATAGTGATGCAGCAGATAGTGAAGTTGATTATTTTTAGTTTAAAGCTTGCAGACAGTGATCTAAGAGACATCATCTTGTAGTAATGGGTGTGACAGTGATGAGTATTGATGGTTTATCTTACGGACATCATATTAAAATATACCAATTTGCATTACATCAACATCAAAGAAGTTTGATTTGTTCACAGATACGTGTCAGAGTGATACCTGTAGCAGTTGCACTAGATTGATATACAACAAGATATGTGAGAGCATTCATTGCAACATTTACTTAAGAGTTATAATTTTTCTAAATCTGATGGAAAATTAGATAATTTAAGTATATCTCTTTTGGTTTATTCAATTTAAATATTACTTTTGCAATACAGATACCTTAGTTTTGAAACGTAAGCAGCAATTTCATTTCAAAAAGATCAATTTTCAACTTTGTATGTTTTGTTCATAAAATGTGTATTCAACATAAGTCAAAAGTCAGGGTCATTTCAAGTTTAAAATATCAATATCTAGAGTAGTTGGCATTTTAAGACATTTTGCCGATGGTATGACCCTTCACAACCAATAATTATGTGACATGAGGTAAAGATCAACTGAATGGGTGAAGGTAATTTCAAGGTCAATATCTAGCAATTTGATGTTTTAAGGCAATTGAGAATAATTCTGACCTTTGACAACCGATTATCAGGTGACCTGTTGTCAAGGTCAAGGTCTATAGGTCAAGATCATTTCAAGGTCATCAATATCTAAGTATTTGGCGTTTTTTGGGCTGAGGTTACCCTTTGTGAATCATGAATGTGTGACCTGAGGTCAAGGTTATTCCAAGGTCAAATCTCAGTATCTAAGTATTTGGTGTATTAAGGCCCTGGGATCTGCTGTGGCCCCTAGCGACTTCCAAGGCAATATCTAGCAATTTGTCGTTTTGAGGCAATTGAGAACAAATTTGACCTTTGGCGACCAATGATTAGGTGACCTGATGTCAAGGTCATTTCAAGGTCAAAATTCAATATCTAGGTAGTTGGCTACTGTGGGGCTACATTCTTATTTAATGATATGACCAATGATAAAGTGACCAGAGATCCATGTCAGTGTTTATGGATCAAGATCATTTCAAGGTCATAGCTCAATATCTGATTAGTATTTGGCGTTTTGGGGCTGAACGTGTTTTTGTGAAAACAATATGATTTTTCTTATGTAAAGTCCCGTGATAAAAATGATATCATCCAATTTCTTCACTTGAAAAGAAAAAAACATCAGAAATACCCTTCAACCTTCATTTTTCACTTTATTTTTTATGATTTCATTCTGGTTTGATTCCTTGACAACTTAATGATACACTACATGATTTAACTACTATATGTACAGGTATAAGCATCACCTGTGGTGCCACCTGTTATTCAGGGCCGTCAGATGGGGGGGGGTGCGATGGGTGCGACCGCACCCCCCTTTGTCACCCCCCAAAATAAATTTGAAAAAAAAAATTTGAAAATTTTTTTTTTTTGAAAAATATTTTTTTTGTAATTTTTTTTCATTGACTCATACACTTTGAAAGTACCCAGAAAGCACCAAATAGCATCGTAAAATTGTAAAAATCTTCTAGGGGTATTGGCCATCCCTCACACCCCCCACAAAACAATGGAAAAGTTCTAAATTTATTTTAGAGTTTTGTCTCAGACACTTTTAAAGTGCCCAGATATCATCAAATAGCTCCTTGATATACATTAGTTAGTGTTTCTGGGAGACTTACCCCTCTTGCATCTTGCACTTGCATAACAACCCCCCCCCCCTCTGGCGCCCCCCCCCCTTGACCCCCCCCCCCAAAAAAAAATTGTGATTTTCTCAAATTCTTTAATTGACTCATACATTTTGAAAGTGCCCAGAAAGCACCAAATAGCGTCGTAAAATTGTAAAATTTTCTAGGGGGAGTGGGCCACCCCTCACACCCCAAACAAAACAATGGAAAAGTTCTGAATTTGTTTTTTGTATTGTCTCAGACACTTTTAAATTGCCCAGACATCATTAAATAGCTCCTTGATAAAGTTAATGATTCTGGAAAACAAACACTTACTCGCCCTCTGGCACCCTTAACACCCCCCCCCCCCCCAAAAAAAAATTGAGATTTTTCAAATTTTTTTATTGACTCATACCCTTTGAAAGTGCCCAGAAAGCACCAAATACCATCTTAAAATTGTAAAATTTTCTTGGGAAATAGGCACTTTTAGGCACATACACTTTTAAAGTGCCCAAACTTCATCGAATAGCACCTTGATATTGTAAATTTTGATATGGGGGACAAACACTTGCTCCCCCTCTGGCACCCCAGCCCCACCTCCCCCTCTGGCACCCCTCCCCCCTTTGACACCCCCAAAATTTGAGAAAAATTGTGATTGTTTTTCAATGTTTTTTATTGACTAATACACTTTAAAAGTGCCCAGAAGCACCAAATATCATCTTTAAATTGTAAAATTTTCTAGGAGAGTTAGCCACCCCTCACATCCCCCACAAAACAAAAGAAAATATTCTGAATTTCATTTATTGTCTCAGACATTTTTTAAGTGCCCAGACATCATCAAATAGCACCTTGATATGGTCAATGTTTCTGGGGGACAACCCCTTGCTCCCCTACTGGCACCCCACCCCACTTCACCCTCTCATTGTCTTTGACACCCCCAAAAGAATTTGAAAAAAATTCACATTTTTCTTATTGACTCATAACGCACAGGCGTACCAGATGGTTGCAAATTCGCTCCAAATACAACCAAATTTCAAAATTTTCCTGGGGGAGAACCCCCAGACCCCCCTGAATGCTAGCTTTTTTATTCACTCAACTCTTATTCCCGTGGTGGTGGCGTACTACTTAGAAACTTACACTTTGAAAGTGCCCAGAAAGCACCAAATAGCATCTCAAAACAGTAAAATTTTCTAGGGGGAGTGGACCACTCCTCACACCCCCCACAAAACAATTGGAACATTTGGAAGTTGCATGCATTTGTTAATTCCAAACCAATATAGGGGGTAACTGCCCCCCCCCCCCTCTGTCTTACGCGATTTGATTTACGCGGCAAAAAAATGACAATTTTATATTAGTAAGCTAAAAACCGCACCCCCCTTGGAGAAAAGTGTCTTACGGGCCTGTTATTAATAATATTTGTAAACATAATGCTTGAATGTATGAATAAATTGAAATTGAAAATATAAATATATGAAAATGTATCTGAAATATTATTGATAACATCCCCACCTTGTCACTTTTTGAAAAATATTAGGTTTATTTTCCATTGGAAAAACTCAAACTATCCATTGTTTTCAGCATAATTTTGGTCATTTAAAAATGATATCTCCAAAACTAGACTTCCATTACAATTCTACTGATGAAAAGGTTTTAGACCACTTGTTGAATAATATTTTCATGCAATTCAAATAAAAAAGAAGAACCTCTGTTGAGTAAATAAGTTCAAAAAAATGTTGAGATGGGTTCCCTATTCATAGTTTTTAGATTGTTCGAATGATATTTTTATTATCATTGAGAATTGAATTTTCTTGAAAGATAACATATTGTATAAATATATGACCGTCAGATATCACTTGCCATACTATATCTGGTACTATGCCAATTTGAAGAAAATTGTAAAATCATATCAGAAGAGAGGATATCCAAATATGAGGTCATTAGTTTAATGACTCAATCAGTAATCAACGGTCACGTTGACGAAGTTTTTCACGAGAGTTACTTTCTCTAGAAGTTCTGAATTGGATCAGTAAGCCGATGTGTTTTCCAAATTCAAATAATTGCAGTAAAACATGCAAAATAGAATGCACATTGGTTATTGAAATGTAGAGATAGTCCATTAGCGTATGGTTATATTATTAAAAACAATTATGGTAAAAATTGAGTATTTCTAACCATATAATGCTTTTTATTCCAAGTTCAATGACATTCTTCTTATTTTACCTTTAAAATGATTTTTATACCACCGAATAACCATTATATCAGTTTCTGGCAAAGTAAATAAGTGAAGGGCTTACACAAGGGTCAATTTTTTTAAGACTGTTTATGTACTTGCATATCACCTGCCGTTCTAAGAGGAAGAGCAATGAATTGCGATTTTTCAGTCGAAACAATGAAATAAACACACTATGTTTATTTTGTTAAACATTTAACAAATAAAATTGTGTTTAGCCTTAACTTTTTTCAGAACATCACTAAATATGAAAAGATTGCAAATAAAGTTGATCCTTGTGTGAGCCCTATATTTATTTACTTTGCCAAAAATGAATATAATGGTAATTAAAATATTTTGAAAACATTGAATAGGTGAAATAGGAATATTATCATTAACAACCATGACTTTTGAATTAAGATGGCATTTTTAGGTCAGAAATATATAATTCTTCACAATTATTGTTTTTTATAAAAATGGCCACACGCAAATGGACTATCATACTTATCAATATCAAATTTGCCTCCTATATTGAATACCCATTGCTATTATTTGAAAAAAATAATTTTTTCAAACTCATCTTTTTGATGGTTGCACCTTGTGGCAAGCCGTTTAGCCCATTCATGTCACCTTTTTTGAGTGCAGACAAGTAAAAATTAATAGTTGATGGACCAATCTATAATGATAATGGGTCACTTCATAGTAAGCTACCACAACATAGGTTTTTGTGATTTTCTGGAGTTTTGACACACACTATGGTGCGCTTCAATACCAGAACATATCATCCAATAGCCTAATATGGTAAAACCCGAGACCATAGAATAGTTCAGAAGAGCCTAAGTTGGTCCAGCCTCCAGAGTATATAGATGGTACAGCCTCCAGAGTATAAGATTAGTGCAGTCTCAAGAATCTAATATGATACAGCCTCTAGAGCGTAATATGTATTCAGCATGCAGAGTCCGAGATGATACAACATTCAGAATCTAAGATTGCTATAGCAGTCAGAGCCTAGAATGGGTACAGCCTCCATAAGTCTAAGATGGTACAGCCTCCAGACCCTTAGATGGTACGGCCTCCAGATATAACATGGGATCAGTCTCCAGAGTATAAGATGGCACAGCTTTCAGGCTATGCTTGCTATATAAGATGGTACGGCCTCTCCAAAGTCAAAGATGGGTGTAGCCTCCAAGAGTCTAAGATGGTACAGCCTCTAGAATCTTAGAGAGTTTAGCCTATAGTGTTTAATGGGTTCATCCTCCAGAGTCTATAATGGGTACAGCATCCATAATCCAAGATTGATACAGCCTACATAGTCTAAGTTGATACACCTTCTAGGGTATAAGATGTCAAGAGTCACCATTTTGTCACATCAATCTGTGATTAATTGTGATCTAATAAATGGATCTAAGATGGTACAGCCTCTAGAGTCTTAGAGAGTTAAGCCTCTGGTGTTTAATGGGTTCATCCTCCAGAGTCTATGATGGGTACAGCATCCATAATCCAAGATTGATACAGCCTACATTGTCTAAGTTGATAAACAGTTCTTAAGGATGAATGTAATAAACAATTTGTTAAGGAACAAGGAGTACCTGGAATGACCTCTACCAACGATTTACATACATTATGTTGTGTTACTATGGCATATACAGTAGTTATCAAACATGCGCCAAATATGTCATCCTATTTATCATGTTATCTTGTTGTAAACACCTTCAATATGTATCAAGCTCAACTTTTGTCCATTTTGAAAAATTAAAAATGACAACCTACCATCTGTTTGTAGGGAAACAGTAGATTTATCCTTAATATTTACAATATTTTGCAATTAAATTGTGTTGCCATGGTAACCAATTGACCAATCAAGATCAAGCTTCGCATGACAACTAACTATATATTGATGCATAATCTCTGAAATGTGAATGTGATTAGGGGCACCCAACAGAAAATATAAATGCTTATCATAGTACCCCTCATAAAATAATACCAGGGGGTACAAATAGTGAATTTTACATGTTTTCCACTACTTAGATTTTTCTAGATTTTTGATATGTCTTTAAACTCATCAATATGCATTTGTTGCACTAGGTTTAATAAGTATTGCAATTTTTTCATTTATTTTTTTATGTTTTTACAGTACTGGACTATTTTCAGCTGCAGAGACTGGGCTTCACTGATATTGATGCTGTAGATGCTTACCAGGCCATGCTAGATGTAGTCAAGTCAAATAATGTTTATAACAATTGATACACATGTTAGCCTCATGTGGGTATTATCTTTTTAGCTGCAGAGACTGGGTTTCACTGATATTGATGCTATAGATGCTAACCAGGCCATGCTAGATGTAGCCAAGTCTAAGAATATTTATAACATACAACAATTGATACACATGTTAGCCTCATGTCAGTATTATCTTTTTAGCTGCAGAGACTGAGTTTCGCTGATATTGATGCTATAGATGCTAACCAGGCCATGCTAGATGTAGTCAAGTCAAATAATGTTTATAACAATTGATACACATGTTAGCCTCATGTGGGTATTATCTTTTTAGCTGCAGAGACTGGGTTTCACTGATATTGATGCTATAGATGCTAACCAGGCCATGCTAGATGTAGCCAAGTCTAAGAATGTTTACAACCGACTGATTTGTGATTTCCTTGGGCTAAACACACTGGACATCAAAAATGGTAAGCTATCTTAACCAGAATGTCTTATTAAAACATATCCATACTGAATAAACTCTATCCTTCAGAAACAATAATTTTGGGTTTTTGCTGACAGGGTTAGTTTCAGTTAAAAATATTATATGGTTTATTAGGCTCATGAAAACATGTTTGAGCATATGAAAGAATTTGCACCCTAAGTGACATCATCGTACTTGATATAGAAACATTTTCACAGTCAGAGGGTCAATTACAAAACATATTGATCACACCTTGTACAGATGTAAAAATATAGAATTATTCCAGTTTTTCTCTATTCATGTCACCTCTGTTTAAACCACGTTAACACTTATCCTTTGTTTGTTTAGATACGTACGATGGCGCAGTTGCAACTGGTTGCTTTAACGAGTCCCATGTCACCGGTGACTGTTTTCCAGAGTTGGTCCGCATCATGAAACCTGGTACAGTAATTATAATTTAGCCTCGTACAATCAGATCTCGATGATAATAGAATCATGTGAGATATCGTGTGCAGACCACCGGCGGATCAAAAATATGTGGGCCCAAAAATCTTGTAGGGCTTCAAAAAGGTGGGTCTTTTTGGGCATAATTTGGCCTTTTTAAACCAAATAATACAAAAATCGGGCTTGAATTTTAAAAATTTGGGCCCAACTTTTGGTTTTAGGGGCCCAAATTATTTTTGCTGACTCGAAGTTTGCCCCCCCCCCCCCTTGTCTGCTTATTAGTTTCTGGATCCGCCAGTGCAGACTGACCAGACCATCGACTTGTTATCGACAGGGTGACCACAAAAGTTGGACACTTTGCATTATTTTTCAAAATATTTAAAATACATAAATAAAAAATGTGTAACATTCTAAGAGATTGGGGAGAGAGTTTATAGAAATTCACTTATGTAAAATTTAATTTTAAAAGCTACTTTTTGGTGGTAATGCGCTGCGTGTCTTGTGTCTTGAAAGAAAAAATGAAAATCTTGACAGTGATGATTGAATGCTATTATTTATCAAAATTTTTTTTTTTTTTTTTTTTTATATTTGATTTATTTCATAGTAAAATAGAATTATTACATACACATGTTGCGGCTTTGCAATGAAGCATTATAAGCCACAATTAAATAATAACAAGATTTAAAAAGAAAGTATGACAATGAATTTGCAATAAGCAAAATAATTATTGTGTACAAAATTATACAGTTGGTGGTGGAAGAAATACTTACACGCTTGCACACCTTTGAATAAAAGCTGAGGTGAGCCTTAAAATTTCAATATTAACTTCTTTTGGCAGACTTCTGTCTCCATACAAAAACAATGATAATTTGTCTTGCTGGTTTTTAAATGCTGGGTAATTAAAATTTAGAAGAGTAAGTGCATCCTCTAAATCTTTAAGATATTGTGATCTAAGGTTACAAGAGAACATAACATGAATGGATGTTTCATTGCTATACCCACATTTGCATGTAGGGGATGGTACATTAGTAAAATTGTGGGCGTAAAAATGGGACTGGAAGATCAGATCACAGCGCACCTTGTTCAGAGAAATTTCTTGGCTCCTTGTCAAGGAGATCTCAGAGGAATTAATGATATAAGTAGTCATTAATTTTTTCTTTACATTTGATTTAAAAATATTTAGATTTGGTGATTCTTTAATTTCGGGTGGGAGAGACTCCCAGTCAATGATGGATTTAAATACGCATGATCTATTTGAAAATGTTGAGGTTTTGATTGGAATTTGGTAGTCACGACTTCTTCGTGTTATTGATGGAAGATTTCTACGATATTGATTAAAAATGCTCAAAACGTAGGATGGAAGTTTATTGTTGTAAGCTCGGTACATCAGGAAAAGTCTATGCATTTGTCTTCTATCAGATAGCTTTGGCCAATTTAAGCAGTTAAAGACTTTTGTTGAAGATGTTCCATGTAGTACACCTGAGCAAATGCAGGCTGCTTTGTAGTATAATTGATCAATGGATTTTAATTTATTCATATTTGCACAACCATAAAGAATATCGCAATAGTCGAAAATTGGAAGTATGAAAGATTTGAAGATTAATTCCAGGTGTTTTCCATTTAATTTGTTGCTTAGAGATTTAAGTGGGTTTAATAGTTTATCAATCCTCTTGGTGAGCTCTGTGATGTGTTGGTCAAAATATATCAAAATCACTAAACATATTAACATAGCAATGTTCAAGACAAGTTAGAATACTTTTAAAATGCAATCATGAGCATAATATTTCAATATTGTCTATAGTTCCCTATATGATATCATCCGAATACAGGCCTACAAGTACTCGTACCTCGTTCTTCCTAAGAAAGGGGGAAAGAACGCAGGCGGTGATGCCTGGAGCCCTGCATTCCGAGGATGGTCCCTAGTATGTAAAATATCAATGTTATTCCAGGCGGCCTGATTCTGATTCAGATACGAGCTGACTTATTGGAGAAAATGGTAGGATTTAAGGAAGCCATGGAACAACTTGAAAACGACAAAATGTGGACATTGGTCAAAAAAGAATATTTCCCAAATTGGTATGTCGACAAACCAATTGATGGATTCAGGGCCGTCTTTAGAATAATCTGACTCGTACGATTATAACCATACGATGGCGTAATCTTAAGTTTTCTAAATGAGTTTTGCGTTAAAATGACTTTCTGATTGTAGCAAAATACAATCGTTTCAAAACATAATACCCACCTCTTGTCATTCATTTCTTTGATTTATCAATGCACTTTGTGTCACCGCCAGAAGTTGTTACATAGGCTACAAATATTGTTCTACTCTCCAGTTTTTGTAGATGGTGTTGAACTGTTCGGAAGTTGGTGCGTGGCGTTCGGTGGTCGACGTCTGTAACAAATGACGAGTAGTAACAGTTTATATGTTTATGTCTTGTTTATTTTCCTGATAGTTGGTAGAATACCACACTGACCTGATCATCACATGTCTAGTCTATGTCAATAATCTGCAAAAGGCTAATCATCAGACTGCCTTTTAACCGAGCCCACCATTCTATTTAGTCAGTCAATAGGTACGCCCTCGACCTCCCTCACTCCTCCATAAGTTTCAGAAGCACTCGTTGGCATATGCTGCGCCCTGATAAACCGGGTTTGCCGCTATCCGAACTGTGCATTATTTGACTCGTTCGTTTTTATCTTCGAAAAAACAGTGAACCGTGCTTTACCGAACCCGGTGTAAAAGGGTAGGAGGTCCTCATAATAACTTTGCGATTTCTTTGGATCACAATAACTTTGCAACTAACGGAGGTAAGATGCTAATTTTTACACCATAATATGCGGGATTCAAAACCAAATTTAGAAAACTTTAGGTTTTTTAGTCTGTGGCTAAAAACATTTCCATGGGAAGATTGTTCAAGGGTTGAAGAATCGCAGATGTTGAAGTTTACATTCATATCCATTTTCAGTGATGTTTGATTAGGGCTTATAGTTTCTGCAAATTTCGAGACTAAGAAAAATATATGGTACCAACAAAAAATATTGACCTTCCTCTACAGCATGTGAAAATATGAAAGTAATCCTGCAAGTAATAAGGAAAATATAGCCTGTTCAAACGGTTAATTTTTTATTGGGCCACCTGTACATGGGCCAATTTACGATAATTGATATTTCAAAAAATACAAAATTCGAAAAATAAAATATTCATATGACATGGTTTTCTCTTGAATTGAAGAGGGAACACACTATATTTTATAAATTCGTAAGCGGCATCATTGGAACTTTATTGGCATTTCGTAACCTGAGCAATTTTCAAAGGAATAAAAAATTAACATATTTTCGTTAATCGTTCAATACTTGTAAGTCTGGTTTAATTTCAAATGAGATATTATATATCACATTTGTGTGTGTCAAACAAACAATAAACACGTTTCCTTGGATATTAGTATTGAATTGTAAAAATAAAAATGTAAAAAGAGTCAATGTTATCGTTTGAAATTATAAGCCGGAAATTATTTTTAACTTAAGAAATGGGCAAGACACGTTCATATAATTTTACATGTACAGTACTTCTTCACCGATGCCCTCACTATAGGACAAAGTTTGTGGCTTCATTTAATATGTTTTTTCCAGAAAAGAGTGTCTAATAATCATGAATTCTCCAATACATCTGTTTTGGATGATATATTTATATTAGACTCCATTAATCATTCCAAGAGTACCCTTTTACTATGACATGGCCTACTTTATAATATCATACATTATAAATAATGTTGAAAATATTCATTCATTTTCACTCTTTTATAGTATATGGTATAATGCTCGGTTACGTTAAGGTATAACGCATAGGTTGGCGTTTCAATTTTACATGCAAGCTTAAACTCCCTAATATTACTTCTTTGCCTCCTCCGAAGAAATGTAAAAGAGAAGGATTGATAAGGAGAGCTTTTTAGAAGTTTATAACTTTTTTTATTCCGAAAGTGATCATCATGGAATTTAGACACATGTTTCCATTTTCTATTTTTAACCGTCACTTTTTGCTTAATAAAATAAAAACCTAGTACTGTACGAGCAAAAAAAAGTGTCTTTGCTAGATGATGAAGTAAAGTCTTAGTTTTCGTTAAAAATGATGCGCATTCCACCCGAAGTATCTTTTAAGATTGTTTTTAGAATTGGTTACACTATTCTTGTCATTCTCGTTAGTAGGAGAAATATGTTACTGAGCAAACCTAGAATCTAACCAATTTAGTGAAGAATAGGGCTTTTTAAACAGGAGACTAAATTTGGTTTTCGTAGCTTTCGATTACGTCTAATCTATAAGAGCTTTTTCGAAATGACCATCATGATTTTAAGTTACTGGGGTTAATTTTTTTTCAAAATAACACCCACGCCCATTTTTTGTCTGAAGTCTTTCTTTATATTACTCAGGTCCTCGGCCAGGCTGTGTGTACGTGTGGGGGATTGGGGTCTCGTTCGATCTTGAACGATATTCTTTCTATTTGACATTCAAGATTTGACCTTCGGTTTTTAAGGTCAAAAAAGGTAAAAAAGATATTTTTCAACTTGCTTCAAATTGACCAATTTTTTTCAAATCATCTTCAAGTTATCAGAAGTACAAATCTGACTATAGATTTGAGATTCGACCTTTATTGACCTTCTCAAGGTCAAAGGGGTCAAAAGGGTATTTTTCAGTTTGCTTCAAATTGACCATTTTTTTCAAATCATCTTCAAGTTATCAGAAGTACAAATCTGACTATAGATTTGAGATTCGACCTTTATTGACCTTCTCAAGGTCAAAGGGGTCAAAGGGGTATTTTTCAAATTGCTTCAAATTGACCAATTCTTTTTTCAAAATTATCTACAAGTACAAATCTGATTTTAGATTCGAGATTTCACTTCAATGACCTTGTCGGGGTCAAAAATGTCATTTTTAACTTGCTTCAAATTGACCAATTTTTTAAATCATCTACATTAATGCCTTGTTTTCGTCTCCCACCCTCTAAATTTTTAAGGTCGCCTCAGGTGCTGATTTAGCATGGAATTTTTTTATGTGTGGGCAGGGTGATGGGTTCTAGCCCCCCCCCCACGTTACACTTCCCTCTATAAGTTAGGTCGAAAACTGATGATAAATTTGATGAATTTTTGAAAATCGTCATTCCCATGTTATCCAATGGGAAATGGAGGATTCGGGAAAAATCAGAAATCATGATATCTTTTCAGTAAAAGATTAAGCAAAAATAGTTTCATGTAGAAAATTGAATTGTCGAACTTTTTGTAAAAGTGTTTAGTTTATTTGATGAATACTAAAGTTACAGCGCTTCAAAGTCATTTTTGAAAATAATTTTTCGCCTCCTGTGTTATTTCAATGGGAGAAGTTTTTGAAAAACAATTTTGACTTTAAAGCCCTTTAACTTTGTTGAACCTGAAGCATTTCCATTTTTTGTTATATACAGTTAGCAACTTCAATTTCCTTTCTAGCTCGTATTTTTTGCAAGGACTCGAATGGTTGGATACTCTGTCGTATGACTTGCGGCAAACCTTCCATTTCTGCATTGGTTAACATGGGAGTGTCGACTTTCAAAGAGTCATCAAATTTATCATCAAAAAAATTGAGAAACTTTGGAGGTATTGGAAATAAAGTCAAATTACGTTTCCATCAATATTACAAATATTTTCTTCGCAGGTTAAGTAAATAAAAATTCAAAAGTAAAGAGGCGTTAACACGTAGTTCAATGGGGGAGCTAAGGTTGCCAAACTTATGGAGGGGAGTGTACTAAAAGCTGACTACGAGCATGTTGCTCATAATGCATGTGAAGTATTAAAGATTGCAATGGATGCAATCATTTTCATTGGAATCGATATAAAAGTATTCTGGCACTTACAATGACTAAGATGTGCAAGCAACATTTGTCATTTCGGGTAAAGGCCAAACATTCATCATAGGGAACGACAAACGGCATTCAGAATATAACATGAAAAAACACGCAGCGTGGGCAATGAGGGAATGAGAAACATCATTCAAAGGTGTATGGTTATGTGTCGTCATTGAAATAAAAAGAAAGCTTAGCATGTTGAATAGAAATGTAAAGGTTACATGTATCTCTATTCACACAAAATTATAACATGATTATATGTGAAACTGAGAGTGAAATATATTATTTCTTGGTTTGGCAATGACTCATTCCTTGCTGTAATCTAAATATAACATAAAAATACGAATACAACTAACTTTTGATTGTACGTTTATATTTCACATAATTCTAAAGTAGTTTTGTATTCTCCAATTTAGGTCCATTTTTTGTTAAATTCGCCTAAAAAGGGCTTTAAAAGGCCAAATTATGCCCAAAAAGGCCCAAATCTTTGAAGCCCTACAAAATTTCGGGGCCCAAAATTAAACTAAAGGGGACGGCCCCATGCCCCCCTCCCCACCGTTCTCTACACTTTAAATACCGTTCTCTACTTGAAATAATGTTCTCTACTTGAAACACCGTTCTCTAATTGAAACACCGTTCTCTACTTAAACACCGTTCTCTACTTGAAATACTGTTCTCTACTTGAAATGTTTCGCTCTACTTTGAATGTCGTCTCTCTGCTTCCTTATCTCGATGCCGATTCTGGAATACAAAACAAGTACAACCATACATTACCTTTACAGGCTTTTTCATTTTGAAAAGTTTTGATCATATGCACAGGCTGGTATCGAAAGATTTGTCCGCTGTGACGGAGCATGCTATTCTTCATAAAAACACTGAGAATGCTTCACGATTTATTTTTTAACTCATATGTTTCGTTATATCAAATAAAATTACTTACTCCATGCAATGGATATATCATTTGCGGGTAACCGTCACTTCTGTTTGAAGTCCAATAACGCTAGGAGTAGAGCTATTGAAAACGGCGCCAGAGTATCAAACTCTAAAATGTACCATTTCTTTTTTAACATTTTAATGGCATGATATTGTGACACGATAATATTAACATATGTTTTCAGCATAACTCTGAATGTATTAATGAGATATTAATGCATTGGGTCTTTTTAATTTTTTTTTATAAAAAATAATATAATATTTTTTGCTCCGCTGTGACGGAGCATTTTCACAGTTCACATTTGCAACTGCTCCGTCACAGCGGACAGAAAAATTTAAAAAAAATTTTTTTATAAAAGAATTAAAAAGACCAAATACATCAACATCTCATCTATACCTTCTTAGTTATGCTGAAACCATGTGTAAATATTA